AGAGAATCATAGACCTTGGCACACTGGCTCACATGGTGTTTGTGTGTGTGTGTGTGTGTGTGTGTGTGTGTGTGTGTAAGGACAGCTGCCACTGTACACCAAGTGGTAATGCTGACCCTATATTGCCACATCTTCTGTTTTTTTTAAAAAAACTGAAGATAGGAAGTTTTTACATGAAATAGACCAATTTTTCAAACATTTATTAATAAAAAAAAATTCAAATACTGCACTCCAAATAAAATACACGTGAGTCAAACCTGCATCAGACTGACACCTTTAATGCATGGAATTGGTGGTTTAACTACATCTGTTTATGTGGTGCCACTTACAATCTGCTTGCCGCCAGCTGAGGTAGTCCTTTAATGTCTGGTTGCTAGGATACACCACGACTCTTCCATCAAAGCCTGGGGGATACAGAAGGGGCTGGTCCTCAAAGTAATCCCGCCAATAAAACACATAGCTGGAGGCAAACTGGGAGGCCACATGAGTCATGAACTTACTTGTAAGGCAAATTGGGTGGAGCAAGAAAAGAGAAGATACATGATATTAATTCAGCAACATAACAGGCTGCAGGTGCAACAGAGAGATTATACAAACTGCTCAGCCAGCCAAGAGATAAAAATGTATTTGGCAAAGAAAAACTATATTAATATTTCGCTTATATATTTCAAATGTAGCCTGTCTCTCCTTCCAATTTTTCTCTATAGGATGTGATGGGATCTTATGGTTCAATAGTTTTTTTGTTTTTTCTTTAGTCTTGGAAGGTGAGGAACCATCGTTTTAAAAAGATACTAATTCTTTATATGATTTGTTTCCTGTAAGAGTTTCAATACTGCCAAATCAAATACCAGATTTGTCTATTTTATACTGAGATCCTCCTTAATTAGAAGTTTAAATACTACTACAATGTATGTGCAGACTGTCACTGGCTAAAGCTAACCTATGAATCTTAATATTACATTCTTATGGTCTCTGCTTCTACTCTTAATATTCAATGTCAGGACAGTCTAGAAACTTAAGATGATGGGGCATGGAGAAGAAAGAATCAGATAAAAAGGCATATAGAATGCTCAGATATCAGATGGAAGTACAACAGTCTAAACAGGAAACATACATACAATCTGCAGTAGCAAATACTGCAGATATCATCTTTAGTCTGTAAGTATGCAATTAAGATAAACAGAAAACCGGATGCAGATAGAAAATATTCTGAAGAAAGAGGCTAGGCCGTGGAATTACCTGGCTCTTCTTTTAAACCAATTGCTTTTCCGCTTGAAGACAAAGCTGTATTCATCACTCTGTCCATATGCGATCACAATATCCTCCAGTTCTTCCATTACCGTCTGTGCACATTTTGTCATCAGGTGGAGAGCCCGGCTGTCATTAGGTTTTGCAAAGCTGTGCTTCTCAGCAAACCTTCACAGGGAAAAGAGAAGAGGGAAAAGGCCATGGATGGAAGAGAGCTTGTCAGTACAGCACCGATCACAGAGGCTGTTCAAAAAGGAAGACACCCTAACAGCACTGTGGACCCAAACACTCCTCTCCATTTCCTTTTTATTCTTGCCCTGACCAACTAAGAAAAAGGGACATAACTGCTAAGTCTCCACTCCCTTTTTTGTGAAATGGGGATAAAGAACATTTACTTCACTGGGATGTCCTGAAGATTGGGAAAAAGTAACAAATATAATTATGCCGGGCTCCTAGTAAGTGCTCAATAATTGTTAGTTACAATGATCATTATTATTAAAGCAGTCCTTTTTAAAAATTAAATTCTCATCTTTCTGTTACATTTCTTTCTCCCTTTTTTTCCCGACTCCTTCTTGAATCCAGTCCACGTGGCCTGTTACTGACAATGAAACATGGACATACTGTGAAGAGTTGCCCACAGCAAGGCCTACACAGATCTCTCAACAGCCCGCACTCAAAACATATCTAACAAAATAGCTAGGCAATTGGCTGAGGAGCTTAACTATTTCCCCAGGGAGAGGCTTTCTCCACCAGGTCTTGCTAACAGGTCTCTGACCACTTAACCCGAGGACTGCAGGCCAGCTGCTCACCTGGGGAGCACCTTACCCTGTTTAACTACCTCGACCAGCCCTCAATCAAGCACGGTGGTAGCCAGTAAGCGGGGCGATGCTCACTGCCGGGCGCTCATTGGCTGCCGCGTTACCCCGGTAACCATGTGCGGGGTTGCAATGATAGGCGTTGGATTCCCCGGAAACGCTGGCGTACCACACGGCCTCAGGCCGAACACGCTCACCGATGGAAGTTCCTGCCGTCCAACCGCACTACCACCCAGCAGTGGGCCAGGCAGGTGTCGTCAGCCTCAAAGTCCCGCACGTACTCAAACTTGCTTTTTGCCATGGTCGCCCCCAATGTCAGGCACCGTCTCAGAGTGACAGAAGTGGCAGCCAAACAATAGCGAACCTTAACGCTGCCCGCAGCCCACATCCCTCTGTGGAAGGGAAAGGACAAGATAGCCCCGCCCCGGAAGCTCCTGTTGCTCTTCGTGGCCGCTCTAGCCGCAGTGGAGGTCCTCATCTCTCTCGCCTCTTCTCTTAGTTCTTCTGGACGCGGGGGGAAGGAGGGAAGTTTCCGTTCTTCGCCTCGTACTAACGGTGCTTGCTCGCTTTTCTCTTCTCGGCCTGCGGCAAATCACTTACGAAGTTTGAAAAAGTCTTTTCTGGCCGACTTTGAAAGTGCCGTTGTAACTTTTTTCCCTTGCGAACAGAATAACATTTATTAATTCATTGTAGAAAATGTGAAATATACCAAAAAATATAATTAGGAGAGTTAACACTTTATATCCGCACCCTCCTCCCCCGTCAAAAGCATTGTGGATGGTTCCTTCCAGTCTTTTTTCTTTTTGTGTATGTATGTTTATACAGGGAACACACAAAATTGGAATCATTCAACTGTACAATTTTTATATTTTTCAACTCAGCTTGAGTATCTTCCAATGTCATTGATTATTCCAAAGTGTGATCTTTTTTAAAAGAAAAATGGACTCAGTATTCCAAAATATAGGGGTACTAAGGTAACTTATACAACTTTTTCACCATTACATAATCAAAGACCCAATGTTTGATTTCTTGTTGCTGATAGATAATAGTAGCAATAAACCGCTGATATTTATGTGATGCTCTATGATTTATAAAGCTCTTTCAAATTCAACCTACCTAAATTTTGTTTTTTTTAATCCTCAAGATATTCAAACAATGTGAAAGGGTATGTAGTGAAAAGTCTCTCATTGACTCCTAACTTCACATGCTTGGAGCAATTATTGTTACCAGTTTCTTGCATATCCATCTAGGGGTTTGTATATGTGTGTGTACTTCCATAATAGTACCATAAATGGTAGTCGTCATTCCTTTTAATTATCATAATAACTTCAGAGGGAAGCCGGGGAGGAATTGGTATCTCCACTTGACAAAGGGAAATCTGAGACTCAAAGAGAAAAAGTAATTAAAGGTCACATATGTGGCAGAGACAGGACATAAATCCAGGAAAACCTCCATCTTTTCTTTCTTCTGTTGGCTTGAAATTAGTTTTCTCTCGGCTTTTACTTACATAACCTCCTCTCTCCAAGTTGACCAGGAGACAATCGAATCCTATCTCCTCTAGGAACCCTACATTTATTAGGTGAATTTTTAAAAATTACTTATTAATATGAACTCGTGATTTTTAAAAATGTGTTTCTCAGCTCTGTCCATTGGGTGGAGATGAAATTACACCCAGAAGCAATAAGCATCCAGTTCTTGATTTCTAGATACCATTCTCCGTTAAGCGAAACTCCTTTGAGAAATGGCTGGGTTCACGTCGTGGCAGAAAAAATTTCAAGTGAGCCTGGGACATCATGTCGTGCCAGAAAGAAAGGAAATGCTCAGACACTAATGAGGGTATATCAAAAAGATGAGCCAGCTTGAGGGGACTCCCACTGGCCAATTTTGAGATAATTTGAGCACTAAGAAGAAGAATAACTGGAATTGATTGTAATACATTCAATAAATAAAAGTCCACAATTCCACAATGATTTTAAAAAGGGGGAAAAATTAAAAATTCTGCACACAGCAGGTATTTATGACCTAACTGGA